AAATTCTTCTACCAGTCTTTCATCACTTTAAATGAATACATCTCATATTAAATGTGATATTGAAGTGGCCTAGCCTATAGTGAAAATCAAATGTATTTTGCGTCCCAAACGGTACTCAGTGGCCTCATTGTGTCGCCGCTATGTGCACTACACAGTCTCGAATTCCTTTGTAGGCTCCCGTTGATAAGACCCATGTAAAGTTGAGACTGTGACCAAGCCCGCATGAGTAAACCCTTATCAAGACAAAGCCAAGAGAGGTCAAATGGCATCATGATGCCAACATTATATCGCTATGGGAAAATTCATGTATTAGTCCTTCATCAAACTTAGGTGACTACAGCATGAGCTAGTTTGGCGATCTACTCATGTCATTGTGGGCAATTTCAGGTTTTATTCCTGCGATGACTTTTTCCAATAGGGACGAATACATTAGCGGTAACCTTAAAGTTCTACCCACTACGAATCAGCAGTCAAATGGCAAATTTCCCAATAAACTCATCGGGCCAGCTACAGAATGCACCCAACGAAACAAAACAGCTCCCAAGTCTTGGGCGTGAGGCTTTTGTGATTGACGACAGACGAAATTTAGCCTTGGGGGGAGGGGTTCGAGGTGGGTTCGAGCTCCGGATGCAGAGCCTCCAGGGCGTGAGGGAAATGTACAATTATGGGCTGTACCGGAAAACAGGGTCCCGACACTGTCTGAAGACCGATCGTCAATACCTACAAGGCAGAGCAAACAAATGACCTTTTTTTCAAACGATTCGTTCTAACATATCGAGTTCGCCCTTGGCCATCACTACCAACATGGCTCCGGTCTGTGCTAAGACACTCGCGCCAAGGTGGAGAGCTAACTCCGTCCTCAAAGAACAAAGGTCGAAGAGAGGCCACCGGATAGCTGAGTCCCCATGGAAGCCCGAAAGATGCACCCAAATTCAACGGCAGATGTTTGGTTTGTTAAGCAGTGTCAACCGGGACAAGACGACCTTTGATGTCCGCATCACTCGGCAGATTACTACCCAAATTCGCACTCTTCGAACCAATTCAGGAAGTTCTTTTCCCTCCCATCCTCTCATTCTCTCTCTCCTTTTCGTGGCATTGCTTATCCCCCGACTGCCTGATTACCTGCACATATCCTCTTTACTCAGCCTCTTTTATGTCTCTCTTACCTCAGCATGCTTGTCAGATGCAAGAATTCACAACAAAAGGACTTCTGCATCG